CACACAGCTCCAGGATATCTCTGCAAGAGTTTCTCAGGATAGTGTTCTTGGCCTAACCATCTTCTGCTGCTTCATCAATGATGTTTCCTCCATCATTAGATCAGAAATGGGATGTTCACCAATGATTGCTAAATGTTCAGCACAATTCACGACTCTTCTGAAGCTGAAACAGTACTGGGGGTGACATGGTGGCTCAGGGACTCACATTACCAGGGACTTGAGTTTAATTCCAGTCTTGGGTAACTGTCTGTGTGGAGTGTGCATGTTCTCATCGTGTCTGTGTGAGTTTCCACCGGGTGCTCCAGTTTTCCTTCTATCGTCCAAAGATGCACAGGTTAGGTGAATTGGCCATGGTAATTTTCCCGGTAGTGTGCAGGCTATGTGGGTGAGCCATGGGAAACGTAGGGTTATAGGGGTAGGGTGAGGGTACTGGGTCCAAGTTGGTTACAGTTCAGAGGTTTGGTGCGGACACTTTTCACACTAGGAAATCTGAGATTCCATGTTCAAATGCAACAAAATCTGCACAAGACCCAGGCTTGGGCAGCAGGTTAGAGCGTAGGAATACTGCAGTGAGTAACTCACCTCCTGACTCCACAAAGACTGTCTATCATCTACAAGGTACAAATCCGGTGTGTGACGAAATGCTCCCCTACTTGCCTGGATGGGTGTAGCACCAACAACACTCAGAAAGCTTGACATCATCCAGAACAAAGCATCTTGCTTGATTGGCACCTCAACCACAAGCATCCATTCAGTAGCAGAAGTGTGTACTATCTACAAGATCCACCGTAGAAATTTACCAAAGATCCTTAGACAGCACCTTCCAAACCCATGACCACTTTTATCTGGAAGGAAAAGTGCAGCAGAAACATGGGAACATTATCACTTGCAAGTTTCCCTCCAAGCCACTCACCATCCTGACTTGGAAATATATTGCTATTCCTTTACTGTCACTAGGTCAAAATTCTGGAATTCTCTTCCTAAGGGCATTGTTGGTCAACCTATAGCATGTGGACTGCAGCAGTTCAAGAAGGCAGCTCACCAACATCTTCTTCAAGGGCTCAAGCAGATGGAGCATGAATTGGTTGGGTTTGATTTATTCTTTGTGTGCAGGATATATTTACATAATTTTCTACAATGCCAGGTAGAATCTAGAGTTATAGCTGTATCGGAACAGCCTGGCAAGGTTGCATCAATTTCAAGATTTCAGTATTAATGCTGGAGTATTGTCAGAGCCTATAGCCTTGGTAGCGTTGAATGCCTTCAGCTCTTTTTTTGAAATCATGTCAACTGAATTGAATTGGTTGAAGGCTGGTTTCTATAATATTATGTGCCTCTGGAGGAGGCCAAGATAGATCATCTTCTTAGCACTTCGCGCTGAAGATTGTTGTAAATGCTTAAACCTTGTGTTTTTCACTGAAGTACCAAGATCCCCCATATTAGAGGATCGGGTATTGGTGCACCTCCATTCAAGATTGGATGCCAGTGGACTGAAGACCTTAAATAAAATCCATTGTTTGTGGAATCACTCAGCTTTCTTCCTCATTTATTATTTATGCCATATGGTACTTTTGTGTTGTAGCTGACACTTACGGTCTAAATGTGCCCAGTCTTGTTCCTTGCATGCTTTCTTACACTCCTTTAGGGAAGTAAAATGCCATCTTTACCTGATGTTGGCCACAGATCCACAGAAATGTGATTGACTCTTCATTCCCCTCTGGGTAATTACAGATCAGCAACAAATGCTGGTCTGACTAGCATCCACATCCTGCATTTAAAAAAAGAACAGTATTCCCTAACTTAATTGGATATGTAGGACTTAGAGGTGTTTTTCTTTACAATTCTGGTGAGAGTGAAGGCCCAAAGCATTTCTTGAAATTTTGAGTTGCTAGATTTGTTCAAAATCTATCCCAGTGTGGTCATGCCCGACATGATGGAAGGTATCTGCAATGTAAAGATGAACCTGTCTCCATTAGGACAATGCAGAGACCACTTCTACTGAAGTCTCATAGACAGATGCATGTGCAGCAAATTCATTGGTGAACATGAAGTCAAGTATGACTTTTCCTCTTGTTACTTCCCTCTCCAAGTGTTGCAGACCCAGGCTGGCTGCTATTTTCTTACCACTACTTTATCAGTCTATCAGCTAAGTTAGTATTGGTGGTGCAGAGATGCCTTTAGTGATGCACATTGAACTTCTCCACCCACAGCACATTCCGCATTCTTGTTACACTCAGTGCTACCTGTAAGTGGTGTTTAACATGGATAAACACTGATTTATAAGCTGATGGGAGGGGAGGGAAAATTAAGGCTAATCAGGAAGTTTTGGCATCCATATTTGACTTGATGCCATGAAGCATCCAGAGTCAATGTCCAGCACTCCTGGACCAAGTTCCTCCTCTATCACTGTGCCAACACTTCTGCTGCCCCATCAGTGTGACAGACCCATAAAGTAGTTGGGTTTGGAAATTTGCCTGTAAGATAAGTATGACTATGCTGAGCAGTTGCTTGACAAGGCTGTGGGTATGTTCTTGCAGTTTTGGCATTACCTACTGAATGCTGTTCAAGAGGATTTTTCAGGATTGACAGAGATAAGCTTGCTGTTGTCGCTTCTAATGTCTAGGTTGATGCCCGATGATCTGTGTGATTTTGATTTAATTAATCGTTTGATACAACTGCGTGGCTTGCTGGGACATATCAGAGGGGAATAAAGAGGCAATAATATTGCTGTGGGTCTGGAGTCAAATCTAGGCCAGACTAAGTCTAGGACAGACTATCTTCCTGCTAGTTAGTGATATGTTAAATGGGTTTTTATTCACAGGTTCATTTTGACTTACGACTTTTCATCCCTGTTGTTTGCATTCAATTTCCAACAGATGCTATGGTTGAATCTGGGTTCCCAGAACATTACCTGGCTCTCAGATTACTAATCCAATGACAATACCAGTAGATTATCACCACCCTACAAAGTCATATGCTTGGAAGTTAAGTGACTGAGTGAGATAGATGTGGTATAAATTGTGTAGGTAGACAAAACACTGAAAGCAGTGAAGTATGTTCACTCAGTCACATTAAAAAAAACCTTTGGATATTTCAACAATTGAAAAACAATACATTTTGACTAAAAATATGTAAGTTTGAACATGCTTGGAGAACTGTATACAGTCCTGGCCTCTATATTGAAAAATAACATATAGAAGGACTGAAAATGATATTACGTTTAAATAGTATAATAGTGTGCTTATCATACGTTACAAGAAATATGCACCAGGTTGGAACTCTGACAGAAGGCATAATCAGAGGATTAGTATTCTGGATTAGAGTTCATAATTAAATGACACCCCTAATAATAAAAACAGAACTTCAGAAGAAGTTATTTTCTTCCAAATTACAAATGGAAAGTGATTCTTTCTAGCACATGGGATTGTTAAGTTATCCAAACATTTAGTTGAAAGCTGTACCAGTAAACGAGGAAGGAAATACTTGACTCATTTATTGGTAAGCTTTGAGGACTTGTGTTTGAAAGAATTTCTTGAGAAGTATGAACATCTGCATGACATATTTGGCTGAATGAGCTTTTTCTATGTTGTAAATAATTTGCAGTACATTGTATTATATCATAAATTGTTGTGTCTGACATTGCATTAGTCTAATTATTAATTTCAGTCCACCACTAATAATAAGCAACGCTAATTGTGCATTGTGTTGTTTGCAATGTTACATTTGAGGGCGTTATTAAACCATAAGACATAGGAACAGAAGTATAACATTCAGCCCATCAAGTCTGCTGCACCATTCAATGAGATTGTGGCTGATTCAAAAATCATCAACTGGATTTTCCTGTCTTTTTACCTTTAATCTTTCTAATTAAAAATCTGTCGATCTCAGTCTTAAATATACTTCATCACGCAGCCTCAATAGCCCTCCGTGGTAAAGTATTCCACTGATTCACTATCCTTTGAGAGAAGAAATTCTTGCTCACCTCTGTCTTAAATGTGTGACCCCTTATTCTGAAGTTATGCCCTCCAACCCTGGACTCTCCCACAAGGGAAACAATCTTTCAGCATTAACCCTGTCAAGTCACTTCTTGTTTTGCTAAATTCCAATGAACACAGGACCAAATTACTGAACCTCTTTTCATAAGACAGCTGTCCCCATCCCCCCCCCCAACCCCCCCCCCCCCCCCCCCCCCCCCCCCCCCCCCCCCCCACCACCCCAAACCCCCCCACCAAGGCCAATATCTGGTATTAGCTTATTGAATCTTGTCTGGACTATCACTAATGCAAGTATATCTTTCCTTAAATAGAGTCATAGAGATCTGCAGCACAGTAAAAAAGGCTTTCAGCCCATCACATCCACATTGTTCCTATATCCTTTTTTATAGTATTCCATCTGTGATCTTACTAGTAGCTTGTATAGTTTTAGGAAAATCTCAATAGTTTTTGCAAAGCCTCCTTAATAGTTTATATTACATTCCCATTGAAATAAAGGATAACATTGAATTTCCCTCTATATTACCAGCTGAACCTGAATACTAGCTTAATAAAAACCAAAAGAACTGCGGATGCTGTAAATCAGGAACAAAAACAAAGCTGCTGGAAAAGCTCGGCAGGTCTGGCAGCATCTGTGGAGGAGAAAACAGAGTTAACGTTTTGGGTCCGGTGAGCCTTCCGTTTTCTCCTCCACAGATGCTGCCAGACCTGCTGAATACTAGCTTTTCATGATCTACAGATGAGGACACCCTGATCCGTCTGTTTTGTGGCCTTGTGTGGTATTTTTATATTTAAATATCTTCAACTCCTCAATTCTTCCCGCCAAATGTGATGACGTATTGAAAACCAATGTGGAGTATATTGTTTATGATGTTATGGTTCATATATCAAAAAGAACAAAAATTAAATTTCCAGGTAGTCCTACTTCAAATGAAGAGACTGACAATATGTGAGCTATGTTAATGTAAGCAAATACAACAGAAGAAGTATGCTGAACAAAAAAAAAACACATTTTGAATGGAATAACATGTGATCATACTGCACCCAAATATACAACATGATCCCTTAAAGTATCAGTTCTTCACAATACTTGTTACATTGCTTTGGTTGAGTGATGCAGAAATACACATAATGCAAGTTCAAGTAACAGTACATTATAAATGAATCAAGAAAATTATCATTATTACATCGTTTAACAGATCGGAAAAAAAGGAAAACCATGCTTTTTGTTTCATATTATTCAGTCCACGAACCAGTATCAGCATTAACTAGAATACACTTCAGGATTCTACAAGAATTCACATTCTGCCGGTGGAATCGCAAATCATTTGCCTACTAAATTTCTGTGGACGAATTTCGCACTGCATCCATGCCTGTCTTAATTGCAGCATAATGTGTACAATTTTCCTGTTGTCTGTGCGTCCGTCCTTTCTCCGAACTAAACATATTGAGAGCTGCATAACCCAAGTTGCTATCTTCGGTTACTTCCAGCGTCTGTAACGATTCAGAATGCTTTAAGTCCAATAATATTTCATATTAGCTTTCAGATCACTAAATTTAAAAGTTAAAGATTTTGGTCGCAAGCTATTGATCATAATATGATGCCGGTCTAAATGTAACTGGAACTAATTTAACTAATGTGATATTTATGTTGAAAGTAGAACATTATTATATTTTATAATTGCACCAAACTACATGAAATCTTTTAGAACAAAGTACTTGCTCATTTTTCATGAGTCCTAAAATGCAGCCTACATTATTGGTGCATGAGGGTAAATTTATCATTTAGTTGATGCTTAATACATAAATTCAGGTATATCCAGAGCCAGAAACAAAAGATAATCTGTTACTGTCAGTATTTCAACAGTCATGTACTTTTTTTACTCAGATTTGTTTTTATTAAACTTAGGGCTTGCTGGCTTAGAGTCATGTCCTCGCACACAAGGTTAAAGCAGATCATGTCTCATCCCTTTTTTCTGATGAAGGGTCTAGGCCCGAAACGTCAGCCTCTCTGCTCCTATGATGCTGCTTGGCCTGCTGTGTTCATCCAGCCCTGCACCTTGTTGTCTCATGTCTCATTGTGTTTTTATTCCATTAAGTATTTTTTTGTCTTTTAAGTTAAACCATTACCTTCCATGGGGGGTTTACAAAATCTTGGACAATAAATTGCTAAATATGACTTCCATTCATGATCAAAACATTTCTATTAATTTTGTGCAACCAAAACCTTCCTATATGATGCTGCAGAATGGCAGTGGATATATCAATCACTATTCCCTAACTGTGAGTAGGTGTTATGTTGATTCCTTGGGTTCTTTCTTTCTTTTATACATGAAAATCTCATGCTATCTGAGAACCTATAGTCAGTCATTTCATCTTCTATTCACTGATTCTCAACTCAGCGTTAATATATTTTGAGTCATTTTGCTCCCTGCCCACTACTCAGTTTTATGATTTTGGGTATCTTTGTCCACGTGTATTATGCATTCCCACTTATTCTCCTTGGTCTAACTTGTATGATATTCATTGTTTCCTGATTCTCACAACACTGACTGAGGGTGATAACTGCTGTCTTAATTTATTGCTGATGGACTCACTTGTCTGCAGTCACATAACTCCAATTTATTGACAAAAGTTTTTGTGGACTGAACAGTCTTTCTGTGAGACAAGATGAAGAAACAGGAGAAGGTGGCACATAATTCCAGAGACCGAACTTGTTTAAGCCTGATAAGACCATTGTTGGCTCTTGATTTACTCAAAGGCTATGTGCCTTGACATTTTAAAAAATATATTCACCTATGAGATGTGAGCACCAATCACTGGATCAGTATTTTTTTCCAATATCCATCAGCTTTTTGTAGTTCATACCATTCACCATTGCTTTGTTACTTTAACAATTCACTGTGATTCAGATTATGTTAAATTCCGAGAATAATTAAACCCTTGATTGTGCTTTCATTAAAAGCAAACTAATGCACATATAATTACATTTGTAACTAAGTTAATGTATTGCCTCTGATGTCTAATCTGATGTTCACATTGAATTAGCATAATGACAACTCATGCAATCAATGTGCATCTGATTCAAACTTAATGAACATAAACTGAGTCCTGTGATTTTATTTTCCTTGCTAGCTCAGTACAAACAACATTTTGCACTTTATATTCCAACATTCAGCTGTTTCAGAAACAAACATAAATTTCTAAAACGAAAAGAGAAGCTGGTGGAAAAGTTCAGTAGGTCTGGCAGCATCTGTGGAGATAATTCAGAGTTAACATTATGGGTCGAGTCACACATCCTCAGAAGGGTCCTGTGTTCTGAGGAAGGGTCACTGGACCTGAAACGTTAACTCTAGTTTGTATCTACAGCTGCTGTCAGAACTACTGAGTTTTTCCAGCAATTTCTATTTTTGTTTCTGATTCACAGCACCTGCAGTTTTTTTGATTTTATTTAACATAAATTTACAACATGAATTTAGAACCTCTACACTGGGCTGATTCTTCTTTTGCTTGTTTGTTTTTGTCTGTAAAGAAAATCGCATTGCAACTGTCACAAAACTTCTTTGGAATGTTTGTAAATGCTAAAACTTATCTTTCACAATTTCATTAAGTTAAATGTATAATGCTCACACTGTTCTGATCTGTTTTTTCCTTATAGAATCATAGAATCCCAATCGTGTGCAAGCAGGCCATTCGGCCCATCAAGTCCACACCGACTCTCCGAAGGGCATCCCACCCAGACCCACGCCCCGTACTGTATCCCAGCAACTCTGCATTTCCCATGGCTAATCCATCTGGCCTGCACATCCCTGGCCTCTATAGACAATTTAGCATGACCAGTCTCCCTAACGTACACACCTTTGGACTGTGGGAGGAAACCGGAGTACCTGGAGGAAACTTCTGCATACATGGGGAGAATGTGTAATATCCACACAGACAGTTGCCTGAAGCTGATATTGAAGCTGGGTCCCTGGTGCTGTGAGTCAGCAGTGCTAAACACTGAGCCACTGTTCTTCTAGAACTTCTTTTAAAGTCCAAAATTCCTCACTACTCATCAGAATTTGAATGTACAATAAGAGAAATGGATTCTGTGCCCTGTGTCACTTACACTGCTAATTACTCACAGATTTATTGGCCTTGATGAAATGTACAAAATGCAATTTATCAGAAGTAATATACTGTTTTACTGTACAATCTTTACTCTTGCATTCTGCTGCTTTGGCTATAAAGTTCAACATTTTGTGGGTGTTATTATTTTTGTCCCTGAATTGATTTATCACTTGACTGCTTGATACTTGGCAATTGTAATTGTTTAAGCCTAATAAGACCATTGTTGGCTCTTGATTTACTCAGACGCTATGTGCCCTGACATTTTAAAAAATACATTCACTTATGAGATGTGAGCACCAATCACTGGATCAGTACTTTTTCCCCCACCCATGGTTGCCTTTCAGGTGAGCTGCCTTTTTGAGCCAATGCAATACAAAATTTTGGTTATTACAATGAGAAAAAGGTGCTCCTCCACTGGTTGCACAATCAGTCAGTTATTTCAGTACAGGTAAAATACTGGCATCCCCCTGAAAAATATTCCACTTACATCGTGTCAACAGAAGGCAGGACAAATTTAACCTGGCTGATCAACTGTCTGTCAGATTGATCTCCAGAATGAGTCCAGCGTTATAAAGTGTTATAAAACAACACTCACACAGTCAAAACAGCTGTCACTATTACCCAGTACTGCCAGAGCAACTCAGCCACTGATCTCATTAAAGCCTTGGTTCGTGGATGGACAAATGAGCCAAGCTGAGGAACTGAGGTAAGAATGACTGCACTTTACATCAAAGTAACATTTAACTGTGTTTGACATCTGGTAAAACTAAATCAATAGAAATGAGGGAACACATTGTCTGCTAATTATGTCTAGCACAAGCAAAGATGGCTGTGGTTGTTGGACAGCAATCATCTTAGTCTCAGGCCATCACTGCATCAGTTGCTAAGATTAGAGTCATGGATGGAATCATTTTGAGCTCCTTCAATAATGGCCTTAACTCCACAATAAGTCTAGAAGGTGGAATGTTCTGGCTGAATGCACAGAGCTCTTGAGCAGTCATGATGCCTATTTACTGAAACAGTCCAGGTCCTTATTGGATAATATTCAAGCCTGAGCTGGTAATTGGCCAGTATTGAGCTACTTACTTTATACTTCCCCAAACCTGCCTGCTACATAAAAATCACAAATTGAGGCCTTGATGGATATTCACTGTGCCATGGGTAGATGCAGCTCTAGTACACACAAAGCTCCATACATTCTGAAGCAGCCTGCATGATTTTCAACCAATACACCACTGTAAATCTTCAATCTCACCACTACCAATATACCATCTGAAAAAGCACTGTTGCAACTCATGGAGGTATCTTGTTCCTTTATTCATTCATAGGATGAGGATATCACTGGCTAGGCAGCATTTACTGTCCATCCCTAATTGCCAAGAGGGCAGTTAAGGCTCAACCACATTGCTGTGGGTCTGGAGTCACATGTAGGCCAGACCAGGTAAGGATGGCAGTTTCCTTCCCTAAAGGTCATCTTTAGACTCTTAATTCCAGATATTTATTGAATTCAAATTCCACCTTCTGCCATGGTGGGATTCAAACCCAGGTCTGCAGAATGTTATCTGGATTAACAGTCTAGTGATAATACCATTAGGCCATCGCCTCCCCCAATGACTCCTACTATCTTGAAAGATAAAAGCAATATGTGAATGTTTGCAACACTATCTGCACTGGATTCTGAATTGTAACTATATCCTTATATATCGCTGAGTCAAAATCCTCAAACTCCCTTCAGAAGTGCAGTCTCCCTGTACCTAAGTACCACTGTATGCAGCATAACAAGAATATGGTTCATCACCACCTATTCAAGGACAACTTAGATGGACAGAAAATGCTTACCTTGCAGCGATGCTGACACTAAATGAAAGGTTGTATGCATAAAAATTATTCTTTACTCAAAATAACATTAATGTTGCAGATGGATTTATTTATGAATATTATCATCAATATTGTCATTATTTTACCTTGCCCGTTTGTCTCGGTAAGCTTTTTTTTTCCCTTCACATATTTCTTCATGTTTACTTCAGTTAATCCACATTGTTTCAGTGCAAATTAGTAGGCCTGTGTTTTACTTCATGGTGCGCTATCAGCTGATACTGCTGATAATACTGAAATCTGTTTTCATGAATTGTCTCATTATTTGACCAGCCCACAAATCTGCAAATCCTCTGGAAGTACCTCCTTAGAGAAATATATGCCAGAATATTGACAAGCATGATGAAATATCTGTAAACTAAGTATCACTAAAATGAGTACTCAAGGCTGCTCTTTGCTGACAGAGAACAAAAATTGACATCATTGCTGAAACTTTGCACGCAGTTTACTAATCGGTTTGGATTGTTCCAACCATCTTTCTGACCTCCGTTCTTGCTTTCTCTCCCTCTTTCTGTTTTATTTTTAAAATTCATTCATGGGATGAGGGCATTGCTGGTAAGCCAGCATTTATTGCCCATCCCTAATTGCCCGGAGGGCATTTAGAAGTCAATTGTAGGTCTAGAGTCACATGTAGGCCAGGCTAGGTAAGGATGGCAGTTTCCTTCCCTATAGGACATTAGTGAATCAAATGTTTTTTTTTCTGACACTCATCAATGCATTCATAATGATCATTAGACTCTTACTTCCAGATTTAAGAAAAAAGAATTCAAATTCCACCATCTGCAATGGCAAGATTCAAAGCTGGGTCTCCCGAACATTATCTGGGTCTCCGGATTAAAAGTCCAGTCCAGCAACAATAACACGAGGTGATTGTCTCCCCATTCTCAAACACACGACTTCCTTCCTTTCTCTGTCACCTAACTGAAAGTTTTATTTTATTTTGTTTGACAGCACTTGACTTATATTCTGTGGTGTTTGATACAGACTGCTTCAATCTGATGTTTTTAATGTTGAGATTGTGGACAGGCTCGCCGAGCCGGTAGATTTGGTTGCATACGTTTCATCACCCTGCTACGTAACATCATTAGTGCGCTTCCGGTGAAGCATCAGTGTTCTGTCCCATTGGTTATTTATATGCCTCGGTTTGCTGGGCTGGTTTGTATTACTTCTGGTTCTGTTTCTCAGCGGGTTGTACACAGGGTCTAATTGAATGTTGATGGAGTTCAGGTTGGAATACCAGGCGTCCAGGAATTCCCTGGCATGTCTCTGTTTGGCTTGTGCGATTATGGATGTGTTGTCCCAGTCGAATTCGTGTCTCTCGTTGTCCGTGTGTGGTGAGACAAGTGAGGATTTGTCATGTCTCTTGGTGGCTAGTTGGTGTTCATGTATCCGTATTGTCAGTCTCCATCAACAAACGCATTGAATTAGTCCCTGTGTACAAACCACTGAGAAACAGAACTGGAAGGAATACCAACCACCCCACGAAACCGAGGCATGTAAATAACAAGCGGGACCGAACATCGATGCTTCACGGGAAGCATACTGGCGATGTTACGTAGCAGTGTGACGACACATTTGCAACCAAACCCACCGGTTCGGGGAGCATGTCTACAACTTTATCCACTATCCAATCTACAAATCTTTTCAAGAAGTTTTAAATGTTGTCACTTGCCATGCACCAGGCGATACACATGGCATTAAATTTCCAGTTAAAGTGAATAGCAGTAAGCCCAATAAAATACTACGTCTGCTCGATTTCAATTGCATGCCAAAATTACACTATTAATAGAATTACCTGAAAGGTGTCTGGAAGTGAAGTAAGATCTTGAATGCAATCTTAAAATTACAGACTTGTACTTTTCTTTAAGTGATGGACCATAATGATTATAAAGGGCTTTCCACAATTTCAGTCATGCTGATATTCATGTGTGTTGCTTAGTCTTAGCTATTTTACACATATTTAGAACATGAATTCTCATAATGTTTAGTCAAAATAATTCCCGAATTTGATGATATACAGCCAGAAAGTGCAGGAGAAACTCAGCAGGTCTGGTAGCATCTGTGACGAGAGAAACAAGGTTAACATTTACAGTTCTTCTGAACTCTTGAGGCTGCATGAAGAGTCATATTGTCTTTGGCTAACCTTGTTTCTCTATCCACTGGTGCTGCCATACTTGCTGAGTTTCTCCAACACTTTCTGACTTAATTCAGATGTCTTGCAGTACTTTGCTTTTATTCTAGTATTCAACGAACCTACTGACAATGGAGATTAGTGTCAATGTCTTTTCTCCCCACCTCCAAATCTTATGGCTACAACAGAATGAAAATGGACACACGAGACAATGACAGTTTGTTTCCACAATGCAAAATAATTAACATGCTCTTAAAAGGGTGTTAACATATACGGACATACCATTTCTTCGCATGGTCGAGGTGCATCTTGATTTGTCCCTATGCATTGGGAATAGAAATTGCAAGACTTTACTTTCTTTTTACAGTCCAAACGAGAGGCACCGATACGTCCAACTTCTATGAGGCATACCGTCTTGGTTCATAATTATACATAAATATTATTCATTAGAATCACTAACTGCTTATAATTTTGGATTCCGAATTGTACCCATACTTCAGTATAAATAGGAAAATGGTGATAACATTAAAAGGACATTTTAAGTATTCATTCATGTTAGTACAGTGTGTCATCCAATGATCGAGTCCCGATTAAGATTAGAAAGGTATTTTTTTTAGCTTCAAGTTAGGAGCCACTGACAATAACATTTCCTTTTTAACTGACCGAAAACCTTAAAACTAAGTAAACATAGCGCTCTTTACCTCTGCATGAACGTGACTTGCATCGCTTTCCAATGACGGCCCCCAGCACGAGACAGACGAGTCCGCTGACTGCGCACCCAATCGCCAAAATGTCAAAATTAACGTCAATGCCTGTAAGATTAATGAATGTAGCTGGGAAGATTTTTGAGATAGAATTTAGGATAAATCAATAATTATCAACAATTTACTAACTTCGTGTATGCATGAAAACTGTAAAGTTAGCAATGCCAATTAGACTGCAGCGCATGAAAACTGGAGTGAAATTAAAAATATATCCCAAGACAAATCGAAGTGATTAAATCTTTCCTTCGTGCTTTTTTTTTGTGTCATGCCTTGTTCCTTTGAATTGATGTATTGATGCTTTGTTTTGTTAATTTTAAACTGTCCTGTTGGATATCGCCCGTCAAATCATTTACCCTGACAGAAGGTAATCCTGACATGAAATTGCTCATCCCTATCACACGACGATACATTGCAAGCTTTTCGCGGGCGCAATCTTTTAAAATAATGCGAAATGTATTTTCAAAATGGAGGAGGTTCTGGGGCTGGATTGGTTATGAACCTTAAAGCGTACACTACTTCAATAGCAATGTATCGTGTGTTAGACGGAATGGTACCTACTGGAAGCAGAAATTGACAACACAAATCTGAGGACATTGCGCGAGGTCTACAATTAATACAGGTAGAAAAGTTTCAAGGCTATTCTTGGGAAGTTACAAGGAAGTTACTTCCTCAGAAATTAATGAAGACGTGGAATTAATAACAGAAATATGAATAGCTAGAAATGAGTTATCGAAAGTAGTTACGGAAGTTGAAAAAAAATTATAAATAGTGTAACTAAAGTATGTATTGTAGGAAAAACATGTTGTCTGGGACCAGAGTATGGTGCTTGATTTCCCACATATTACAGGTCCAGCAGTCTGCTTGACCGAGCCGAGTTGTGATTGCTGAAAAGTATTTACCTTACATCAAACTGCATTACTTTGGTGTTCTTACCTGATTTTATTAATTTGGCCTTGACTTTCACTTCTTCCTGTTGTTTTATCGTTAAAGCTACGTTTAGCTCCTCTATAAGTGCAGTATGATTTCCTGACTTATAACAATTTAAGGTCAATTCCTAATACAGTTTCTTACCAACCCTTCAATTTTACAGCGTGATGTCTAACTCAATGCTAGCCAGGTTGTAGCAGCTGAATTCCAACGAAATGTTGTTGGCCTCGAGATTCACTCATGATTTAAAGCAATTTCTGAAGAAGGGTCCCTACCCGAAATGTCAACTTTCCTACTCTTCTGATGCTGCCTGGCCTGCTGTGTTCCTCCAGCTCCACACTGTGTTAACTCTGATTCCAGCATCGGCAGTTCTTACTATCTCCAAGTTGCAGGTCAGATGCTTCTTGAACTCCCATGTAAGTGGGGACGTCTCGGGAATTGTCTACAATTTATAGCCTCGCACCCTAGCCACCCCTTCGCGGATCAGATGCCCGTCCCACTCCCAGATGATTGGTTTTGGTCTGGAGATTTGCCCAGGAGTTATAGCTTCCCACTTGGAGCTGTTCCACTGCAGGCCAGATGCCGCTCCATCTCCCAGTTAAGATAATGCTGACTGTCTCCGTGTGCTCCTTTTTCCTGTTCTTCCAGATGATACTGATTGTGTCTGGGTGCTCGTTTCATATACACTCATTACTTTTTGTGATTTTGCAAACGATTATTTCAAATATTTAGAGTAAACGGGGCTCAATCTTAGCCACTAAAAAATCAAACGCTACCAATGATGCTGAAGAACTGTTTCCATTGCTTGCGTGTGTGTTTGTGTGTGTATGTGCAATTTGTGCTAAACTAGAAATGAATACACTTTTCAATATTTTACACAGACATGCTGTGAGTTTTTACACTTGAAGCCAATTTAGGGAGCATCTAGTAAATACGTAAAGCACATGATATCAGAGCAAACAACCTTGCTTCTCCCTAAGCAAAGAGGTTGGAGAATTGTTCAAAAAAAAACAAAGTGCTGGAAAAACTCAGCAGATCCGGTAGCATCCGTGGAGAACAAATGAAAATTAACATTTCAGGTCAATTGGCGTTCCTTCAGAAAGTTAGTTCAGAGCAGGGTAGAATCGGAATCCGGCAGAATTGGTTGGAACATTGAGTTCCACTAAGGGGATAAAAGGTACAGGGAGCTAAAGAAAGTAAATTAAAGGTTTGATTTTATTCATGCGTGAGATGTGGGCATCATATTGCCTGGCCCCAGTTGCCGTTGAAATGGTGGTGGTGAGCTGCCTTCTTGAACTGTTGCAGTCCATATTCTGTAAATTACTCCTTAGAGATGGAATTCAAGAATTTTGACCCAGCAGCAGTGAAGAAGCAGTGATGTGTTTTCAAGTCTGGATGGTGAGTGGCTTGGACGGAAGCTTGAAGGTGGTGGTGCTTCTATTTATCTCCTGACTTGTCCTTCAAGATGGAAGTGGTGTGGGTTTGGAAGGCGCTGTCTAAGGACATTTAACAAATTTCTGCAATGAATCTTGCAAATTGCATGCATCGATGCTACCGAGCTTCGGTAGGAGAGTGACTGAATGTTGGTGGATGTGATGTCAGTCAAGCGGTTGCTTTGTTCTGGATGGTGTTAAGCTTCTTAAGTGTTGTTGCAGTTGTGCTCGTCCAGGAAAGTGGGTAGTATTCCATCCAATATTCAGTGAGAAAGCCAGAGTGAAAGATAATGGTCAGAGATGGGAAACAAAGACATGCTGTCAAAGCTTTTCGTGTCCAACTCATCAGTAGAAATACAGGACTGCCAAATTAACATTGACTTGTTAAACAATCAGCATCCGTTCTCATGTAAAAACGGAAAAAACTGCAGATGCTGTAAATCAGAGACAAAAATAAAAATTGCTGGAAAAGCTCAGCAGGACTGGCACCACATGTGGAGAGAAATCAGAATTAACGTTTCGGGTCCAGTTCTGAGGAAGGGTCACTCGACCCCAAACGTTAGTTCTGAATTCTCTCCACAGATGCTGCCGGACCTGCTGAGCTTTTCCAACAATTTCTACTTTTCTATTATTCAATTCTCTTCCAACAATTTTTCTATTATTCAATTGTCATGTGTTCTGTTTCTTTTGGTCATATTGAAATTTGGTATTCTTTCATGTGCCCAAATGAGTGGAAGGTGGAAAGCTTCGACAGCTTATTTTCATTTTCAGCAACATAAATGAAAAACTAAAGGAATATAATTCTACAATTTTAACATTCAAATTCAAGCCTCAAAGCTTGTTTGGAAGAAATTCACACCTAAAATGATATTGGAACGGGAAAGTCCAATTTTTCTTTCAATTTATTTCACTGTAGTGGAATTGGCCTATCTGCTCTTGCTGATGAATGTGCTACATGCTCCATTTAAAGTATTATACCTCAACTTCTCAGGATATATCTTTTAAATTTTTCTTTTGGTTTAAACACTTCTCTATTTCACTTAAACACTTCCTGTGCCAATGAGTTCACATATGAATTTAGTTTATGAGTAAAGTCTCTTTGCCTTAAATTCCTATTGAATTTGTTCATACCTGCTAATGATTACGGTCACCACCTGCAAAGTGTACAAACATGGTTATCGTACAGTGTCCGAAGGCACAGATTGCCACATGCAGCAATGTCCTGCTTTTATATAGACTGGAGTTTCAGGGATGTGGTCACACCAAACATTCAGCCAGATGAGTGCAGAAGGGTGGGCAGGCAGGCAATGAAAGAATACCCTGTGGCTAATCCCCACTCAAACAAGTATAACATTTTCAATATTGTTAGGAGTCAGGATATGACCTCTCAAGGAAAGTAACAGCCGCAGCCAGATCCGTGGCACCACGATTGAATCTAATGAACAGCAGGGAAGATCAAAGTGTTATCAAATAGTAATGATACGGAACTGTGTAATCAGGGACACAGAGATATTTCTGTGGCTGCAAGCGAGACTCCAGGTTGGCATGTTGTCTTCCTAGGCCAGGGTCAAGAATATCTCTCAGTGTGTGCAGGACATTTTGAAAGAGGAGGGTGAGCAGCCAGAAATCATTGTCCATACTGGAATGCATGCCATAGGCAGCAAGAGAGGTGAAGTCCTGCAAAGGGAATTTCGGGAGTCAGGTAGGAAAGTGAAATGCAGGACCTCTCGGATTGTAAGCTCAGGATGACTCCCTGTGCCACCGACTGGCGAGGCCATAAACAGGAAGATAATACAGTTGAATGCATGGCTAAAGATCTGGTGTTGGAGCGATGTCTTCAGATGGCTGGATCATTGGGATCTCTTCCGGGGAAGGAGGGACGTGTACAAGAATGATGACTTGCACCCAAATTAGAGGGGCGCCAATATCTTTGTTTGGTTTGCTAATACCACTCAAGAAAGTTTAAATTGGGGAGGCAGGGTATGGAAAGTAGAAAAGTAGGCCAGCATATGGAGTGATTGAGAAGAAGGTCGAGGTTAAGTCAAGTAAGTCTAATAGGAAGAACAGGCAGGACCAGGTTGGTCAGCGAGACTTGCAGGATTAAGTGCATAACAGGTAAGGTCGATGAGTTTAGATCCTGGATTATTGCATGGGACTACATATCATAGCCATTACAGCCACTACAGAAACTTGGCTGAGAGAAGGGCAGTATTAGCAACACACTGTTCCAGGGTTTAGATGTTTAAGGTAAGATAGAATGTCACACTAAGAGGGGGTGTCTTTGAGGGCTCATCCAGACAGTCCATATGTATAGAACTCAGGAATAAAAAAGTTGCAATCACTATGATGGGGTCACACTATAGGCTTCCCAACAGCCAACAAGAGATAGAGGAACATATATGTAAGCAAATCATGGAAAGATTTTAGAATGACAGCATAATTGTTTTGGTTGATTTTGACTTCCCTAATATTGGCTGGGACTCCCTTGCTGCGAAGGACTTAGATTGGGCAGAAATTTTTAAGTGAATCTGTGAGGACTTCATGAAACAATATATCGCTAGTCCAACTAGGTAAGGGGCCATAATAGAGCTTGTATTGGTAAGAGCCAAGCCAGCTTGTTTATAGTTTCAGTGGGGAGCAATTTGGGAACAGTGATCATGATTCCATAAGTTTTAAGATTTTTATGGATAAGGATAAAGCTGGTCCTCAGGTGAAAGTGCTAAATTGGAGGAGGCTAATTGCAATAGTATTGGGCAGGAAGTTGAGAAATTAGATTGGAGGTTGCTGTTTGAGAGTAAATCCATTTCTGACATATGGGAGCCATTTAAAGGTCAGTTGATCAGAATTCAGGACCATCAAGATCCTCTCAGGAAGAATGATAGGATGGCAAAGTTTGGGAATCCTGGATGACCAGAGATATTGAAAGTTTAGTCAAAAAGAAAAATAAAACATTTGTAAGGTGTTGGACACTGAAATCAGAAAAGGCCCTTAAGGAATATTAAGGAAGCATGAAAGTATTAAAACAAGAAATTAGAGGGCCAGAGGGGATCTTGAAATGCCCTTGACAAGAAAATCCCAAGGCATTTTATATCCATTTTAGAACAAGGAGGGTAGCCAGGGAAAGGGTAGGTGTACAGCAGGATAAAGGAAGGAATTTATGCATGGAGCCGGAGAAAGTGGGTAAGGTCTTTAATGAGTACTCTGCATTGCTATTCATCAAGGAGAAGGACATGGAAAATGGTAAGATTAGAGAGATGTGTGTTGATATCCTATGGCATGTCAATATTAAAAAGGAGGTGTTAGATGCCTTGAAAAACATTAAGGTAGATAAGTCCCCACTGCCTGATGGGACCTACTCCAGGATATTGAGGAAGGCGAGGGGGGAGATTGTTGGGCTTGACAGAGATCTTTGTATCATCTTCAGCCCTAGGTGAGGTACCAGAAAACTAAGAATAGCCAATGTTATTCCTTCGTTTAAAAATGGCAACAGGGATAATTCAGAAAACCATAGGCCAGTGAACCTTACATCACCAGTAGGGAAATTACTGGAGACGATTCTTAGGGACAGGAATTGCTTGCATTTGGAAAAGAATGAGATTAATCAGGGAAATAAGACTTATTTTGGACAATCAGCATGGGTTTGCACAAGGGAGATCTTTTGTCAGAAATTAGACGGAGATTTTTTTCGGGAAATGATGAAGATAATTAATGATGGTAGGACAGTAGTTGTAGTGTACATAGGCTTTCCTAAAACATTGAAGATTAAGTCACATGGGATCCATGGTGAGTCGGTATGTTTGATATAAAAGTTCTCAGATGACACAAAAATTGGTTGAATTGTGCATAGTGAGGAAGGTTTTCAAAGGATACAGAAGGACATAGATCAGTTGGAAATTGACAAGAGAAATGGCAGATAAAATTTAATCTAGACAAATGTGAGGCAATGCATTTTGAGAGGTCAAATGCAAGAAGTAATTATACAGTAAATGGCAGGAGCCTTTGGAACATTGATATACAGAAGGATTTTGGGGTGTGATGTCATAGCTTCCTGGAAGTGGCAACACAAATAGATAATCTCATCAAGAAGGGTAATGACATGCTTTCCTTAATTGGTCAGAGCATTGAGTATAAAAGTTGGTAAGATATATTGTAACTGTATAAAACTTTATTTAAGCTACATTTGGAAAATTGTGTGAAGTTTTGGTTGCCATACTAAAGGAAGGATGTGCAGGCTTTTCAGAAGTTGCAAAAGACGTTTACCAAGATGTTGCATCAATTGGACAGTATTAGTTATATGGAGTGGTTGGACAAACTTGGATTGTTTTCACTTGAGCATTGGAAGCAGAGGGGTGGCCAGTGGCTAGTTAGTTCCGGGGGGAAATGTCATATACTAGGGGCCATAGGTTTAAGGTGAGAGGGGAACATATAATGGAGATGTTTGAGGAATACAGTTTACAGAGTGGTCTATGCCTGGAACAATCTGCCAGTGGAGATGGTAGAAGCAGATGCGATAGCAATGTTTAAGACGCATTTAGACAGACACATGAACAGGCAGGGAATAGAAGAATACAGACCATTTGTAGGCAGATGGGATTAGTTTAGAGTGACATCATGACCTGCACAGACATGGTCGTCTGAATGGCCTGTTCTTGTGTTGTACTGTTCTATGTTTCTATATACTCAGTTTGCATGTGTAGGTTCAGAACCTCAATATTTAGTCAATTTTCAGGTACTACCCTTCTTCAAGAAGAGTAATATCCGAAACGTTGGCTTCCACCTTCCTCCAGATGCTGCCTGGCTTGCTGTGTTCTTCCAGCCTCTTGTTTGTCTACTTTGGATTCCAGCATCTCCAGTTTTTCTTGTCTCAATATTTAGCATTCAATTTCTATGTAAATAAAAGTTTTGAGCTATCGTTTTAGTTTTGTGCAATTTCAGTAATAGTGTTGTTAATTATATACAAATTCATTCGTTGGCTTCCTACCTGAGGTAGAACTTGACACCAAATAAACAGACAATTTCGAACTTTGGGTGGCGCTGTGAGATACCAAACAAATATAAGAGGTGCCTTTCTGGATTGGCTGTGATTCCTGTAGAGTACTGGAAGCTCGATGTAGCCCCGCATCGGTCAAGTACTGTGTTGTTTTTATCCCGGTGACAATCTTGCTTGTATTTTTGTACCAGTTGAATGTAATCGCCGCTGGGTAAAAGTCAACTGTTTCACATACGAGATGTAGATAGATGTCTGAATTTCCATCAGGTGTTTTGGAAAGTATCGTAGGGGTAGATGGTGGATCTGTAATGGGATTAAGATAACATCGTTCAGCGCTGTCGATTTAGAACATCATTGTATCTCTTAACCAATGAATAATGCTGAGTATTGTTTTATTAATTTGGAAAATAAGAGTTACACAAAAGTCACTCTGTGTTGAGCCATTTATTTGATTCGCGCAAAAATTTTGCGCAATTCATTAGTAGTGCTATTTAATTGGGCGGCTAGTGGTTAGTATCGCTGGTTCACAGCGCCGGGGACGCGAGTTCGATTCTAGCCTCTGGCTACTGTCTGTGTGGAGCTTGCACATTCTCTCCATGTCTGCGTGGATTACCTTCTGGTGCCCCGATTTCCTCCCACAGTCCAAAGATGTGCAGGTTAGGCGGATTGGCCATTCTAGATTGCCCCGTAGCACACAGGGATGTGCTGTTTAAGTGGAACAGTCATGCAAATACGCTTGATCAACGTGAAGCTATATCGAGCTTTTAGTACACTACAGGAATCCCAGGGATAAAGTGGGTCTGGGTGAGATGAATTTCGGAGGGCCGGTGCAGACTCGATCGGGCGAATCACCTCTTTCTGCACTGTGGGGATCTATTCTTTCATTGTATGGGATTAATTCACTAGAGAAAAGCAAACATTAACTGGTAACACTCTGACCTCAGATGCACAAGTCTAACTGCAACTGCCAAAATAACCTTTACAACGCCATCAATTTCTAGAATAACGGAATGTTGTATGAATCATGGATATAAATTGTTCTGGGAAATTCCGTGCTTGTTAATAAAATATTTGCTTACAATTTGGGCTAAACACGAGAAGAAACAACCATGAATGCCCGTTTGTGTCGTTTTATTCCAGTCTCCTCAGATGTTTGGTCAGGAGAAAAATGCGTCACCAGCTCAGCTGAAGATAACATTATGAACAGGAAATTATATTCTTTTGGGAACATATTCACTGTATAATCGGAGGTCATACAGAGCTCGCTGGAACAGTTTTCCCCAAATTTCCACCAGTAAAACAATATATAAATTTGTTGGCAGCCTAATCGACTTCACTCTAACGTGGTTAAATCATTTCAGCTCATTTTGTTATGAGGTCAATATTAAAGAATTGGATGATTTGATTCATTAGGATCTGTGATAGAACGGAGCATGTCCCACAATAATGGTTCTGTTAGATAAAAAAAAATACATTTTTTCCAAGATAACAAGGTGTAGAGCTGGATGAACACAGCAGGCCAAGCAGCATCAGAGGAGCACGAAAGCTGACGTTTCGGGTCGAGACCCTTCTTCAGAAAATCATTGTTTCTACACATTGATTCCATATGCTCCATTCTCAAGATATCAGGCTTTCAGCATTTTGCATTGACAATATCGGCGAAACATGACAATTTCTCAATCATTTCGCGTCAAACACATGTTAACTCGATCGGATATACATAATTGCTGTTGAATGATTTTTTTTCGAGATTTTACTAATCTTCCTGCCCTGTTTGGCATTGCAATGATGCAAACACGACAACATTCTACAACGAATGCCCTGATGAAGCGTCATCTAGACTTGAAACCTTAGTTTGCTCTCTCTTCATGGATGCTGCCTGACCCGCTGTGATTTCCAGCATTATTTTTTGTTTTCAGCAGCATTCTACAATGTCTTTCAATATTATTAATCGGCTAAACAATGGAACGAGATTTCTAACAATTCCTTCACCTACAATGACACTTACTGTAGACAACAAGTGTCGTTCCAGTCCCGTTGCTAATCATCGCTCTGTTTTGATTAACTCCGCAGTAGTAAACTCCAGCATCTTCAAGACGGATGTCAATGAGCAGTAAGGTGCCCTGGCCCTTTCTCTTAAAATACCGTTTCCTAGCGTCGGCGCTAGGATGTAGAAGTGCATTATCGCCAAGTTTCCACCAGAAGACACCCACCTCTGAATCATCAGACGGAATACTGAAAGCACAAGTGATGGTTACATTTTCACCGAAATTCCGAATAATGCGTTGAGGCTTCTGTGACACCTGGATATGGGAATAGCAAAAAGCTTTCAAAGAAAAAGAGGAGAAAAATAATGCATTCCATTAATTCAACATTGAGATCTGACTTGAAAACTCCTAAAAGATAGATTGATACAGTCTAACATGAATAAATATTAAGACGATTTTTAAAATTGTTTTTTTTTCCCAGAAAATACCTGTCGATATCATTTCGAGGACCAACATGCACTGCAGTATAATCATATTGGGTGAAGGAAGAATCAATTCTTGCCAATAGACGCATGCTGCGGTGAATTTATACAGAGCGGCCACAGATGACGTGAGATTGTACTGTTTTGCATATGTCCTATCATGAAAGAACTGGTGAAGTGCAAATAAAGTGATGGCAAGTCGAAAGACAAACCGTGAAGTACTGCGAATGCTGAAACTAAAACTACAGAGTGCTGGAAATACAGCATCGAGCTGAATCGTTACCTCTGTCCCTGTTCTTGCAGGTGATGTAAAATAAGCAAGTCTTAAATGGGTTGTCTTTTATTTGTGTGAACGTGTGGTGTTTTCTTGTTATCTGTACTCGATTTCAGTTTAACTTTATTCTGATTTTCATCAGCGGGAACTGTGATGTATTTACACCCTACGGTAGGTTGTTATAGGTTGGACATTAAGAACATAATGTCATAGGAAATGGGATTAGGAGTGGACAAGTTGAACACGCGAGCCTGCTCTACCACTTAATAAATGCACGAATCTGATTTTGGACTGAGTCCCACCTTCTCGTAATACACTCCGCCATAACCTTTGATCGACTTTTAAATCAAAAATCTATGTAGTTCTGCTTTCAATATATTCAAAAACCAGATTTTCACTGCTCTCTTAGGTAGAGAATTCTGAAAGACACCTTTTCCAAGAAGACAAATCTTCCTAATCTCCGTGTTAAATATTCTTCCTCTATTTTAAACCTTCCCTCCTCACTCACCCTCTACTTGGAGGGTCTCTCAAAAGAGCAAGCGCGTACTTAGTATACATTTAGTCATTACGCAACCACTCAAAACCTCGGGAACCTAAATGGTTCAACAAGAAGTCTTCTCAATCTTCTAATTTCCCATGCACACAGTAAGAAGCTTTCCTAGTAGACAACATGTTTGTTCCAAGTATCAACCTAGGCAACCTCCTGTACAATATTTCTAATGGAAGTATATCACTTGTTAAGGGGATCAAACTTGTCGTTGTCTCCGGGTCCGAACTCATCAATGTTCCTTTCCTCCATTTGCACCAAATCTCCCAATTTATAAAGAGTCATTCTGCCACCAAATGCTTGCTGTTTCTGAGCACTAACTCTTGTTTTTTGATAAAGACACGGAGATCCCTGTGCTCCACAGAATGTTATAGCCTCTAACTAATTAAATCACTTTCTGATTTCTCTTATTCCCACCAAAGTTGACCACATCATCGTTCCTCAGATGATACATTCATCTGCTTAATTTCTTCATTTTCACTTAACCTGTCCATTCCCGTTTAAGACATAGTAGGATGTTTTTCGATCAGTTTTTCGCTGTATCTTTGGCTCTAATACGCCAGGCCTCAAATAATTCTAAATTCTGTGTAAAATACTATTATCCTTTTGAAAAAAAAATAACGCATGACTTTGCTTAATTCTATTAGGATTTTCTAAGTGTGCTATTATTTCCTTTAAAGATGGCACCTTGCGCTCAATGATAGATATTCAGCCGGGAATTTGAATGCAGTTTATGCGATCTCCCGTTCCCTCGGCACAAAAGTTTAACGTGTGACATCCTGACCTATTACCAACGAAGGAAAGTATGATTTCTAGAAATCTTATAAACCGCAGTGCTACTGAGATGTTTACCACCCAGAAGCACCAAAATCGAAGTAATTCGGCGACTTGTTTAAAACAGAAATCAAGGCTTGATGTAAAAGTGGCTTACGTTCCGTATTAAATTGTACCCGAGACTTTTATTAGATTTTATTCACATTTCAGATTAAAATAGCGAAGTTTATAATGGATGAGCACTGAAACCTGTCATGTCCGATTCCTGTTCTTTGGAAAATTCCTCTTAAATTTTGTCACAGCAATGACCCATGTGGTATCTGCAACTGCTCACGTGTTAAGTGAACATTTATAACCTTTAACAAAAGTACAGACTATAAATCTCATGGAACTCCTTATGGTGCTGTCCAGACTGACCTTCCAAAGTCACAGCAAAGAAGAGTCACTATTCCATTAAATTTAAAAGGGCGAAGAGGCAGTCATCAATAACATTTAACCCACGATCAGTAAACAGTGGGATTTCTGGCCCAACTGGCGTCAAATCAAATGAAGAAACAAATTATTGGGAGTTAATAGTGATTCCTGGGTGTTGCCTTACCCCGCAGAATGTTGGGAATCCTCATTGAGGTATATATGAATCCAGAGGCCGAGTAACGGGCAGGAACTCAAAATGAGATGGCAAGAACTGCATATGCTGGAGTCAGTGATAACCGAGTGTGGAACTGGAGGAACACAGCAGGCCAGGCATCAGAAGAGCCGGAAAGTTGACGTTTCGGGTCGGGACCATTTCTGAAGCAGGGTCACGACCGGAAACGGTCCTGCTCCTCTGATGCTGCCTGGCCTGCTATGTTCCACCAGCTCCACACTGTGTTAACTCTGATTCCAGCATCGGCAGTTCTTACTATCTCCAAGTTGCAGGTCAGATGCTTCTTGAACTCCCATGTAAGTGGGGACGTCTCGGGAATTGTCTACAATTTATAGCCTCGCACCCTAGCCACTCCTTCGCGGATCAGATGCCCGTCCCAGGATACCAAAATGTTATTTACAAATCACTCCATGAGTATTGCACTTAAATGCGTAACATTTGCAGGCAAGTCTGGAGAGAAGATATCGAAGTGATGGTTTCACATTTTCTCAACTGATTTCCCACCGAATGAGACTGCCCCATCCAAACGTGTTTAAGCAGAACAAGGTCACGACAAACATAGTGCCTGAGAGAGTGACTCCTCCTGCTGGTAAGTTTACACTAATAGGTTAGTAAGATAATGTGAACATATTGAAGTGGAAATTAAAATATTCTTGCCATGGGCTATCGGAAGCATCAAAATGACAAAATAACATGCTGATGCATCAAAACAGGGGGAATTTGAAAATGTAAATTTGCAAACCGCATTATATCCGGTATAAGTTGTTTATGCAAGCAATTTTACAACGAGAAAACCGAATAAAGCGGCCGGAGATTGTTTTACAGTGCATAATAAATGAATGGGGCTGCTGAAAGCCAAGAGTTCTCAATTTAAATTAAACGGCACGACAGGGTGAACATAAAGACGGTAAACTAATAATTTTAAAAACACAAAAAACATAAGGCTGAATTCGAGAACGCTGGAATAACTAAGGGGTATGTTGCCGTGAAATAAAATATGACAAAATAAGTCTCCTGACAAGTTAATGTTTACAAAATATATAAAATAATTACCAGAAAAATATTTAATGTAAAAGGAAGGAGGAATTTCAACAGCAAGCATTTTTTGAGTTTTTTTTAAACAGAGTGGTTCCTGTGTGGAATGAACTTCCAGAGGAATTGGTGGATGCCGGTACAGTTACGACATTCAAAAAAGATTGAAATAAGTACATGTATAAGAAAGGGGGGATATGGGCCAAAGCAGGCAAGTGGGACTAGTTTAGTTTGGGATTGTAGTTGGCATGGACTGGTTAGACCATGGTCCAACAATGAATCCCGTTATTGCAGATATGACAGCATTCGCTTTGTGCTTGATGTAACGGCGAAGGAATGGAGAAAATTTACCAGTTGAATTCTGATTCAGCCGTAAAAGACCAGAAGGCCATAAAATATAGCGGCAGTATTAGGTCATTCAGCCCAGCAAGTCTGCTCTGCAATGCGATAATGGCTGATCTATTTCTCAAACCCTTTCTCCTGCTTTCTTCCCATGTTTCTTGATCCCCCTATTAAGCAATAAACTATCTCTGTATTAAATGCACTCAATGGCATGGCCTCTACAACCTTCTGAAGCAACGTGTTCAACAGATTAACTACGCTGACTGAAGAAACCCCTTCTAATATCAGTTCTAAAGGGTCATCCTTTCACTATGCAGTTCTGCCATCTGGTCCAAGTCTCTTCTACTAGTGGAAACCTCTTCACCATGTCCATGCTATTCAAGCCTCTCAATATTCTGTAAGTTTCAATAAGATTCCACCCCCTCCCGTCTCCACCTTCTAAACTCCATTGAGTATAGATCCAGAATCCTCAACTTCTCATATGGCAGTCCCTTCATCTCCAGGAACATTTTTGTAAACCTCCTCTAGAGCAAATCCTTCCTTAGATACAGGACCCAAAGCTGCTCACAATATTCCAAATGCTGTACACAGCCTCAGCAGTACATCACCGCGCATGTATTGTAGAGATAACAAGGTGTAGAGCTGGATGAACACAGCAGGCCAAACAGCATCAGAGGAGCAGGAAGGCTGATGTTTTGGGCCGAGACCCTTCTTCAGACCTTTCTAACCCTCTTGAAATGAATGCTAACATTGCATTTGCCTTCCTAACTGCCAGCTGAACCTGCATACGACTCTTAAGAGAATCCTGAATGAGGACTCCTAAGTCCCTTTATGCTTCAGAATTCTGAAACCTTTCCCCATTTAGAAAATAGTCCTTAACTCCATTCTTCCTAACAAAGCATGTAATCTCACAGTTTCCCACATTGTATTCCAACTGCCATTCCTTTGCCCGCTCTCATGGTCTGTCCAAGTCCTTCTGCAGCCTTCCCACTTCCTGAATACTACCTTTCTGCAAACTTAGCAGCAATGCCCTCAGTTCCTTCATCCAGGTCGTTATTGCAGAACATGAATGGTTGTGATCCGAACGCTGGCTTTAATGGAACTCAACTAGTCACTGGTCATTCTCTTGAAAAAAGATCATTTTATCCTTTCTCTCTTTGCTTCCTGCCAGTCAGCCAATCCTTCATCCATGCCAGTATCTTGCCCCTAAGCCCACGGGCTCTTATTGTATTTAGCAGCCTTCTGTACAGCACCTTGTCAAAGGTCTTCCTGAAATCCAAATAAATCATGTCCACTGGTTCTTCTTTGTCTAACTTTCTCACTAACTGATGAAAAAATTCTAACAGATTTGTCAGACATGACCTCCTCTGTGCTGATCAGGCCTATTTTACATTTCCAAGCACTCTGAGATTACAAAGAGTTCTTGTTCATTTGGGTCAATGGGCT